GTAGGAAAGGAATTTTAATCAGTATGGTTATACTGAGAAGAATAGATAAAGGTCTAGTAACTTAGGCTGAGAAGAACTTGAAGGTTTTACAGAGAAGTAGAAGAAAGGCAAGAGTTAGTTAATTGGAGGGTTTGCATAGCCAACAATGCAGATGATCTTAGTGCCACTCTAGGCACTCCTCCTGGAGATCTAGAACAGGACATTGTAAAAGCTGACAGTGACAATATATTGATTCTAATGTCCCTGTAAACCTTAAAAATACCTTGATTGCTCTTACCTTGGTGCCTTCCATCTTGAAGGAGAAAGATTACCAGCTTTAGATGACCAATCACACCTATGTTCAGAGTTGAGCAGGAATCCAACTTTATTACCAGAGTTTAAGTAATAAAGGAAACATACAAAATAAGGTACAGTTTTATCCTGGTATTAGTCATCCATTGGGTATCGGAAGGTCCAAGTGAAGAGTTGGTGCTTTTAGCAAAAGCAATGTCTAAGTCCCTATAATACTGAAAGCTGCAGTTCTTTTATGCTAAAGTCAAGGCTTAGTCCAGAAAAGGGCTCGGAATCATTTAGTTTAGTCAAGGAGGCAGCTTTTTGTTTATTTGTTTGTTTGCTTGCTTCTGTTTTGTTTAGTCAGGACACAGGCAATTAAAACAAGGCTCATCCTGTCAATGCTTGGAATTCTGTGCAGTCCACTGAACAGTCAACGGGTACCATTTACGTTATTGTCTATGTGAATGACTAGTCCTGACTTGTGCAGTTGCGCAGTTGGCACAGCCACATACAGAATTCTGTGATCACAGCTGCTCCAATGATAGAAGAATTTCCAGTTGGGGTTCTCCTCAGTTCCATCTTGGTCAGTGAACAAGATCCCTTCTGTCCTACCCTTGCCTAAGAGGTAAAGCACCCTCACTCTCATTGGGGTGGGGAGGTTATAAATGCCCAATGCTTGAACTGGACTACCTGTGGTCCATAGTGCAAGGGATGAAGGTTCATACATAGCACACAGCTCAGCCCCAACTTCCTTTCATTCAGTTCTCTGGTCCAAAAGGGAGAAGGTTTTTGCTTACCCTCCCCATGCAGGATGCCCTCACTCCTCCCGCACCATCTTTTCCGTAGAGACTATATAAGCAGACATTACCTGGAAGCCAAGACTATGGTTCCTTTCAGTCTTTGTTTCCTTTAGCAGCAGATTACAGAAGGAAAACCCATCTTTTGGAACCACAGAGAAAATTAAAGAACATAGGAAACACATGGACTAACATTTCTTGTTAAGACTCTGCCATGAGCACTTATAATGATGAGACTTTTTAAGGGTTCTGATGATTTAGCATAGGGATCTCTGGGAAGAGATAGCTCATCTGCAGTGGAGTCAAGGGAATCTTCCAGGAGACATTGACATTTCCATAAATCAAGGGGTTAGGTAAGAGGAGAGGAAATGCAGAAGAGAGTGCTGGGGAGTGGAGGGGGGAGGCCCACCATGCTTTTCTTGGGTCTTTCCTCTCCCCGTTCTGTTTCTTATTGAATCAACCACATTTTCTTTGTAGCTACCCCCTCTCCCCTTAGCCCCCCACTGAATTGGATGCAATGTGTTCTATTTCAGTTCTTACAATGGGTAACTAAATGTTTAAGAGGCATAGTTAACTTTGCAAACATGGAAGCTCATTAATCTCTGTATTTTTCTCTCCCAACACAAAGGCCTTGCAATACCCAGCTTCCCTCCTCCACCTCCCACATATGGGACCACTTTTACTTCCTCCTTTTTGTGAACTTCCAAGTCTGGTCATTTATCATTTCTTTTAGTCAGTTCATATTTAAATGAATAAAAATGTTGGCCGATTTCTTTGCTTCATATAGCTTCGTAAATCCAACTCTTTTGTCTATTCAATATTCCTCGTGCTGAAATAATCTTCAAGACAGAGTGAGAAATCTCTGTCTTTGTTATATCCAAATTAACCCTTACTCTTAAATTATACACTTGCTAAATATATAATTCTAGGTTAGCTGTGATATTTTCCTTTGGCACTTTGAATATATTATTACATTGTCTTCTGAAGTGCTTAGCTGCTTTGTAGAAATGTACTTTTGTCTAATTGCCGTTACTTTTTTGATAATCCTTCTTTTCCTTTTGGTAATTTTTGAACTAATTGTCTTTTTATGTTCTGCAGATTCACTATGCTGTATTTAGGTGTAGATTTATTTAACTTGATCTGGTTGAAACTTCTCTTCTTCCTCCTGGACCTCCTCCTCCTCCTTCCTCTTCTTTTTAATTTTCTTCCATATTATTCAAACTAATATTCTCCAGATCTTTACCTCTGAGTGCTACACTAAGTACTTTTCTCCTGTCTTTCTTCCACTAGACTAATTCTCTGACATCTACTCTTTCAACCCATCCATCAATTTTTATTTCATTGACCAGATATTTCATGTGTAAAAATCCCTTGCCTTTGCAAATTAACTTATTCTTTTTCCACAGAGTCCTGTTATTGACTTACAATTTCTAGTTCTTTCTTTATTTCTTTGAACACTTTAAGGAAATGTTCCTATTCTAAATATTCTCCCAGATTGCTTTTAGTTCTCAGGGTTCAGTCTCCCCTATACCCTTACCTTAAAAATAAAAAATTGACTCTCTCATAGTGGCTTTTCTTCACTGCAAGTCCCCTTTTCTGGGCCATCATTGTATTCCAAAGAAATAATTCACTTTTACTTCTGCTGGGATTCTTGGGATGTACTAGTTCAGAGCAAATTTTGATATAAATATTTTACTCTGTGGTCTTTACTCCCTAGGAGTACAAACAAATTCTGGCTCTGTTTTTCTTGGAAGTTTGAGTCTAGGTCACATTTCACTTAGATAATTTCTATCACTCTGGACCTCTTTGGAGCCACTCTTTCTTTGGACAGGTGGCCAGCATTGTCTCTTTCCCTGTAAATTGACAAGTCAGGCTTCTAAGGCTTCTGGCTTCCAGCAGGGACCTGGAGTCTGGATCCATCCCCCTGCAAGAACATTATCACAGTTCCAGAGGTGAATGCTGTGTCCAGCTCTGAAATACCTGTACTTGCCTTTGGCTTCAACGTTAGCCAAGTTGCTCCAGTTTTTAGCTTATTTTTCTTTCTTTTTTTCTTGGCATCTCTTTGAATCTTGAACTTGAACGTATGCATAGAGTATTATCTCGTATTTAGCACTTTTATGTATTTGAATCAGGTAGGGTGGCATTGAACGTGGACAGCAGGAGGCATTTTATGTCAGCTCTGCTTTCTCCATTGTCTGAGGCCCCAGATGGTTTCATGAAGCCAGCGTAACAGTGACATCAAATTGACTGAGCCTGCCTAATTATCTTGCCTGTGATGCTGGGAGATGGATGACTTCAAGACAGCACTCAGCACACTGGCCCACTGAAGACTGATGCTTTCCTGTCACCGCTGCTGGCTCAGAAGCAGATGAGTCCCCATATGCAGGTGTCCTCACTCAGGGCCTGGGGGCCTGTGACATTCTCCAGGCATGAGAGGCATCGCTCTGCTTCCTGAGCAGCTCATCTAGATTCTGGTTCTGTCTTTTTTAGGTAATGAGGTTTTTCTTTCTCAGAGATGTCTCAGGGCTCCTGTCTCCTCGGTAGAGCACTAAGGGATCTTCCCTCTCCACCCACCCCCAACAGATTAAAATTAGCAAGAAGGTGACTCCTCACCCCTCTTCCTATTTTTGTCCTCTTTGAAAAACATTTGAGTTGATGGGTGAATTTGGAGCCAGGATACAACTGGATAAAATTTGAGGGAGATGTCAAGGAGGAAAGCCAGGAATATTAATGTCTTTCCACAGTCTGATGAGAAGGGGAGAAGATAAATAGGTTATGTGAGGGAAAGAGATGTGGGAGAGGAGTGAACACTCTGCAATAAAAGTAGAGGTTGGAAGTCCCAGTAGAGGGATAATTAATGGAGTGGAGTGATGGAGAAGGGCCAGCCAATGGTTTTCTATGCCAGGTTTTTCTGATGTACACAGTCCTGCAATGTCTCCATTATATGGGATGCACTGACTATGTCTGAAGGAGAACCTTAAGGAACAGAACCATGGCTCTATACTTTGAGTTCTGCACCAAAAGAGTGTACGGAGTTTAGAGAGATTTGAAACCAACTGCTTCTTAAGGTTTCACTTTATGGGACCAGCAAACTCCTGATCTGCCTGGCATTGGCCACTTACAAGGTCTCTGTATAGGGTCTTCTTCCACAAAAGATCCTTGTAGCCCGACACACTGTCTGGATTGGGAGCCCTTGGTAGCTGATGAACCTTTTAACTGGAGGAGTTTCATAGAAGCTGATATGTCTTTTGTCACTGCTCCAAAAAAACTCGTGAAGATGGGTCATTGAAAACGTGGATTGTGATGAGATGAGAATAGGAAAACTTTCAGAAAAGGGTACTTTAGGTAGTTCTGGTAGAATATTTTATATAGAGAGAGTCAGGTCATCCAGGATATAAAATTTGATCATGCTTTGGAAGGATAATGGAGGACTCCAGAAGGGTTCAGTAGAAGGTGGAGTCAGGGAAGGTAGATTGGCTAAAATTCAGGATTAAAATTCCAGCCTTTACTCAAGCATTCCCATCTTAATCTGAAATGCCACCGTTTTCTTCTGCGACTGAATGGACTGATTCTATAAAGATTTCTTGGTGATTGCTCTGTGCGAGGTACCATGTCAGGGGCTGGGGGTTCAGGGTTAGTTTAGATTACTCTGTCCCCCAGGCAACTAAAACTCTCATGGGACAGAGGTCCTCTCACTATGGAAAAACAAGACTTATTTTTCTCCCTAGGGAAAAACCAAGAATTTTTAGTGGGTATTCAAGCTTGGAAGTTTGATGAAATGCTGTTCTCAAACCAACCTCTAGCTATTCTAAAATTTATCTGCTAGAATAAGCCTGTGTTTATAATAACTTCACAAACAGTAGGTATACTCTCATCTTCCTCAAATTTTAACCTGGAACATTACTCACAGGGTGTAATACTTCAAGGTTATCCAACAAAGAGAAACCTTTTTATTTTTTAAATAATAAATCAAGACTTCATAAACCCTGGGAACTCCCCCTCTGTTCCTGTCTTATGGTGTTGAAGAGGGGATGTTCTGAATTCTGTGGCATAAGGACAGGTTTCATTTTAGGGACTTCACCTCTTCCATTCTCTGCCTGCTATGAAAGGGCTTCCTCAAGGAGACCTGCTAGAGCAAAGCAGAGAGAGCATGAGTAAGAAACACTGATCTCTGGAAACTCCCTCCCCCATACATTAAAGAATTAGCAATTCTTTCTTTACCTCTGTCCTCTGCTATCTCTTGGATGTGTTAGTGGTTTAAAGAATAGTTATTAAAAAAAAAAAAGCCATATAGTTTTTTTTCTTTTTTTGCTACTGATTCTTATAAATGCAGTCATAATGTTTTCCAGAGCTATCAGCATTTACAAGGCTATTTAACAAAATGCTATTTTACCTGATTTCTCTTGGATTAGGAATGTATTATTAAGGTAGTCAAAATCTAATTTATCAAATCAAATCATAAGCTCTTTTTAATGGCAGTCATCATATCATAAAACATTTAATATTTTCTTTCTACTGTTAATACAAAGCAAAATAATATATTAGCTACTTGGCTGACTATTTTTAGCAATATGTTATTCTCACTTTTTAACATTTATTAAATTTTTGATGATTGTATCAAAGTTATTGGAGTCATTCCTGGTTTTATGCACAAGACTCATTTAATTGTCCCTTAAAACTAAATAATATGCACACAATTACAGAAGGAACACCAAGACTCTCATCATGCCTTATTCTCCTTAAGTAACTGGTAATTTTAGCTGCAAATTACACTATACCACATTAACTAAGAAGACTAATTTATTATCTTGTTTATATAACTTACTTTAAAATGAATAAATATATTAGATCATCATCATTTTAATTTCACAGGAATATTTTTAGTAATTTAACTTACAAATTGCATCTTTTACTTTATTTCTAGCCATATTCATAATATTCTTTGAAATGTGCATTAACATACTTATCTAGATTTAAAGCTGAGGTCAGACCTTTTCTAACAAAAGCATATGATTTGGCTAATTGGTTTGATAAAATGGCTCAGCTGGGCTGGGGTATGGCTCAGTGGCAGAGCGCTTACCTAGCATATGTGAGGCACTGGGTCCGATCCTCAGTACCACATATAAATAAATACATAAAGGTTCATCAACAACTAATAAAAATATTTTTTTAAATGGCTCTGCCATTTATTCTATATGGTACATACTTTCTATTGAAGAATGATTGAATTTGTAGTTCCAAGATTATGATAAAATATATTTAAAGCATGAGTTAATATAAAATTAGTTTATCATAATGTTGTACTGGTAAAAGTGAATGAAAATATCAATGCCAATTTCCCCACCTTTCACAAGGTAGCAAAGTGCCCCTCAGTGAAAGAGTAGCCAGTGTGATGGCTGATACTGTACATTGTGTACTTCCCAGAGACTGAAGCATTCTGGCACTGGGTAGCCAATCTTGTCCCACATCAAGTGTTTTCTGATTCCTCTTTTCAAAGTACAACTTAATTAATTAAATTGTGGTAAATAATTTTAAATGATTTCATGATAAATGACATCTGCTTGGATTAACTATATACTACTGATAATATTGTTAACAGTAATGGTAACTGATTACCCAATGTGGAAGAATGGTTTCACATTTATAATCAGTGATCATATGAAAAAACTTAAAAGCTAAATTTATATCTATAGTTATATTTATACCCCAGAAGAATATGATATCATTAATAAACAAGTTATCATAAATATGTCTAGCATTAGGATGAAATTGTGTCGGGAATTGGAATGGGAATATGGATGCAATGAGAAAGACAGAAAGTGCAAATCATCTGTATTTTGTGGACATCGAATTAGTATGTATTTTTTACTGAAAATCAAGCTTTCATCAGGATTTTGGAATTTACTAAATTAGACTTCTGGGTAGCTTTTCTTTTAATTCTTTAAAAGCTGCCTTTCCTACTAGGGGTTGTTATAATCTCCTTTTATATTACTAATGTTGCTTACTTGCATTTACCTCTAGCTTTTCTGTGTGTATGTATATATATGCACATATATACATTTCTTAATCTTTCTAGTTTTTAGGATATATTTCCCTTCTTTTTCTAGTTTTTTAAAAAAGCTTTACAAATATATTTTATTTGGTTTTATGTATGTATATATGTAAGATCAAAGGAAATAAAGCAAATAAACAAGATTACAATATGAAATGGGGATTATAATTATTGCTGATGGGGCAAATAGCTTTCAAAGAATAAAATAAAGTCATCTAAAGCATTGGAGTAATAAATATTAAAAATAAATCACTTATTCTGTCAATGATACATTTAAATATGTTTAAATAAATTTTTCTGAGTAATATATATGAAAACATGGAGTTTTCTATATATGTGTGGGTATGCGTGTGTATGTATGTATACATACATATATCCTTGACAAAATATGACCCTTTAGTTCAGATTACAACCCCTCCCTCTCCCCCGCCCATGTTTTCTTCTTCATTATTCAGAATTTGTGGTGGTGATCATTGTTAAAGCATCCATAAACTCAAGATAGGCAATTTGAGGAGAGTATAATAGAAGCTTGGGCAATGTGTAAGAGACCACACAAGAGCCAGGGGGTGGGGAACTAGCCTTGCAGAAGGACAAGTGGTGAATCCAGAGCCCTATAGAGAGGACTGGTTCTCAGCCCACAGTGAGGGGCCGGTGGGAAGAAAGAGTCTGACCTCAACTTCTGCCTCCCTCAAATCTTCTGTTGTGCTCAACCCTGGCTGAACCCAACTTTAAGACAGTGGGAGAGGAAGACCAATATTGCTCCAGCAAGTCAGTCTCCTGGGATCTAGAACAGAAAGAGGTGGGTGTCTGGTGCAAGGTTTCCTGAATATTTGGTGTGTTTATTCACTAGTCTTCCTGCTCTCTTTGGTTTGCTTTACTCCTATTTTCCTGATTTTAAGAAATCTAAGGATTTAATCTAAAGATACTTTATTTCCTTTTTCATGTTTAATAATGACAGCAGTTGAGCTATACAATATTTAAATACCAGTAACTCTGTGGGTACTGACCGGAGTGAACACTGCTCTTGGGACATCTGGAGAGCCCTTGCTGGGCCATCTCCATCCTGAAATGGAGCAGTTAATGCTCTTCTCTCTTCCCAAGAGAGAGGCTCAGAGTAGCTCTATTTAGCCATCCATACAAAAGGATTTCCATGTTTAAACAGGCAGTGTAGTTAAACCAGAATGTTCTGGCTAGATGGCAATTCTATTTAATGGTACAGGTTCTCCTTTGGCATATAGTCCTGTTTGTATTCCTCTTCTAGCATTCTCATTGTCATTAATTTCTAAATAGTCTATAATTGCAATTTGAAATTCCTTTCCAACAAAAACACTATTTTGATTCAGAGCTTTAAATTGATTAAAGTATTTTGAAGCTTTCAACTGGTATTATTAATATCTATCCTAGTTGCTTTGTGGTCAGAAAAATGTTATCTACACTCTTTATGCACTTTGTAATTTGTCACGGTTTTCTGGGTGGCCTTTGTATAATCAATTCTTATAAATGGTCCATAGATATTAAAAATCAAAGCTTCTTCTTTGATTATAAAGACCTTGAAAGACATTTACTAAACTGACTTTATTTTACTCAAATTCTTGGTATGCTGTTAGCTTTTACCAACCTGACCTGGCAAATACTGAAAGATTTAGGTCAATATCCTCTCCATGTCTGTGCTTCCCTCTATAGCTTTCTTCTGGTCCTTTCTTTCTCTCCCAGGACAGATAAGGATGGTGTCTGGAGACTCAGGCAGAGGAGGGAGCAGATGAGTATGTTTCTTCACAGTAAAGATGCTGTCCAGTTTCTGTTTGGACAGAGATGCTGAGCCTCTGAGTTAGGGAGAAGACAGAATAGGAAGTCATATGGATCCGACTGTTATTTTGTGTACTCTTTTGTTTTATAATCTGAAAGTTGAATCCAGTGAGATGAAGTGGGATTTGAAGGCCTTATGGGTCCTTGTTATGTGTGCAGACTGTCCACCTTTGTCACCAGCACTGTTGAGTTTTTCCTCATTTTTCCCAGATCACAGAAGCCAACAATGTTGCCCTATGTGGTTTTAAAGGTGTGCCAACCAACGGGCAAAAGTCTGTTTCCACTACCACATATTCTTCTTAGCAGATGCCAGAGAGAGCCATCTTCCAGCACCCTTGTCTAGATCTCAAGGAGAGGAAGGCTCAAAGTCCAGTCATAGGTGAATGAGAGTTTTAGTCATCTTTTTGTTACCATGACAAATACCTTAAATAATCAACTTGTCAAGAAAAAAAGATTTATGTGGCTCACAGCTTTAGACATTTCAGTTCATGAACTGATTGATCTTATTGCTTTGGGCTTGTTGTGAACAATGGAGGAAGTGCAGGTGGTGCAAACCCACTTCCCCAGGAGTGGGAAGCAAAAGAGAAAGGGGAAGAGATCAGGGTCCCAAAATCCCCTTTGAGGGCATACCACAAGTGAACTAAAGACACGCCACAAGACTCTGCCTCTTTCTTTTTTACCCTGTTCTAATCTCTGTGTTTATTTTATTTATTTTAATGAACTAATTAATTTCGTGTGGTACTAGGGATTGAACCCAAGGACGCTATACCACTCAGCTAGATCCTTGGCCATTTTCCCACATTTTTATTAGTGTATTATAATTGTATGCAATGATGGGGTTTGTTGTCATATATTCATACATACACCTAGAATAACAATGTAAGTGGACCACTATTACTCTTCAGCACTTCTTCCTCTCCCTTCCCACCTTCCACCCCACAGGTCTCTTTCCTTTACTTATCTCCCTTAATTTTTAGGAGATTCACCCATACCTTTTTTTCCCTTTTTCTTCTCTAGTTTCCACACATGAGAGAAAACAACAATCCTTGATCTTTTGAGTTTGACTTGTTTTTCTTAATATGATGGTCTCTAATTCCATCCATTTCCCTGCAACTGATATAATTTCATTTTTCTTTATGGCTGAATAAACATATGAGTTTTATTTAGCCACAAAAAATGTGATATACATATTACAACTAGGCTAGTTTCAAAGTTTGGCTATTATGAACTGTGTTGCTATAAACATGGGTCTGCATGTATCACTATAGTATGATAATTTAAATTCTTCAGAATAAATAGGAAGAGTGGTATAGCTGGATCTAATGGTGGTTCCATGCCTATTCTTTTGAGAAACCTCTGTACTGATTTGCATAGCGGTTATTTTAATTTACAGTACTACCAACAATGTAAAAGTGTTTCTTTTTCTTGACATCCTTTCCAGAATTTATTATTTATATTCTTGATGACTGCCATTCTGACTGGTGTAAGTTGAAATCTCAGCGTAGTTTTGATTTGTATTTCCCTAATTATTAATGATGTTGAACACTTTTTTGTATATTTGTTGGCCATTCATATTTCTTCTTTTGAGAAGTATCTTTTCAATTCATTTGCCCATTTTTAAATTGGGTTATTTGATATTTTGGTGTAAAGTTTTTTTGAGTTCTTCATATAGTCCAGATATTAATCTTCTGTCAGAAGAATAGCTAGCAAAGATTTTCTCCCATTCTGTGGGTTCTCTCTTTACATTCTAATTGTTTCCTTTGTTGTGCAGAAACTTTTTAATTTAATGCCAACCTATTTACAAATTCTTGGCCTTATTTCCTGAACTTTAGAGGTCCTATTAAGAAAGTCACTCACTGCCTGTGTCTACATGCTGAAGTGTTGAGCTTATATTTTTTTCTAGGAGTTGCATAGTTTCTGGTATAATTCCTAGGTCTTTATCCATTTTGAGTTGATTTTTGTGCAAGGTGAAAAATAAGTGTCTAGTTTCTTTTTTTATCAGAGAGGGGATACCAAGAATTGAACCCAGAGGCACTTAACCATGAGCCAACACTTTTTATTTTTATTTTTTTATTTTGAGACAGGGTCTCACTAAGTTGCTTAGGTTCTTGCTAAGTTGCTGAGGCTGGCATTGAACTTGTGATCCTCCTGCTAGGTGTGTGCCACCATCACCAGCAGGCTCTAGTTTCATTCTTCTATATGTGAATAACCAGTTTTCCCTGCACCATTTGTTTAAAAGGCTGTTTTTCTCCAATGTATGTTTTTGGCACCTTTGTTAAGGATCAGATGAGTATAAATGATGGAGCAAAACCACTCACCTCGTGACCTGGAAGCAAAAGAGAAAATGAGGAAGAGACCAGGGTCCCAAAGTCCCCTCTGAGGACACATCCCCAATGACTTAAAAACATCCCACAAGGCTCCACCTCTTAAAGTTTTCATCACCTCCTAATATCACCGAGCAAGAAATCAAGCCTTAAACACAGGGGCATGTGGGGGACACTTGAGATCCAAGACCTAACAGAGTCTTTTGTGACATCATTCTGATCACACTTTCCTGTTCTTGTCCCACCCCTAGACCAGGCACACATTTTAATAACAGCAGCATAGCACCAATTACCTTATCAACTTGGCCCCTTGTCTAATGAAAAGACATTAAAATATGCTCCAAGGTTTTTAGAGACTCACCTTTCTCATCTCTCCATATTTTGTTACAAGTTATGCTTATATTCTGATCCCGAACCCACTACAGAAATTATAATTGAGTTTCAGTTAGCTATAAAAAATATACTTTTGGCTTCATTTAATGAAGTCTTTCCCTGAGAATGCAGATAAGAAATAAGAAACATGTTTCTCTCTACTTAAAATGCATGAGTTCTGTTTAATGGGGTAAATGTTGGATGATAGTTGAATGTCTATATCAAATTAATGAGAACTATTGAAGCTTTTCTCCATTTGTAGATGAATCTGGTATCCTAGAAAGGAAGGTGTGTCTTACTCCCTCCAGAATTACCGGTTGCAAGGAAGAGAAACCTACTTGAGCCGATTTAAATTACAAAAAAAAAAAAAAAGGAAGAAGTAGAAAAGAAGCAGTGTTGTAAAATCATACAACAGACAGATTCACTCATAAAAATATAAGGATGTAGGCTTCTGTCTTCTCTTTCTGAATTGTGTTCCATTGTTTGTTCACATACTTGCTTGGCCCTTGTCCTGAGATTTGGGCGACTTCACAGAACTAACAACCGCCCCTCACATCTTTTAGAAGCACTAGGAAAGAATTTCCTTTTGGTCATAATTGTCTCCACTTAGGTGCCATGTCATCATCCCTGGTAGTCAGCTTTGGCTTAAGACTATTGTCATCTAGTACAAACATGGCCACCAGTACCTGCTTCTTTGAAGGCTGTTTGAGTGAAGAATTTCCCAAAAGAGGTAATTCTGAGCTAGTAGGATAGGAAGTGAAGCTTGTGTGGTACACAGTGGGGGCTGGGGATGGGGGACAGAGTACTTCCTCAGGAAGAGTTTTGTATTCCCCTTAGATGGAGACCTATATAAATGTCACATGAAGTCTGCGTGAAAAAGGATTGTGAAGCTTAAGAAACAGAATTTTGTGGGTGAAGACTGATAGTTTGTCTTGTATTTTTAACTTAAAAAAATCAATATCACAGTGTTGGACCATTCAGTGTAAGATATATTTAGATCATGAATTGAATTGTTCCGAGCAGCAACTTGATCTGTAGAACAGAGAGGGGAATCAGGAGACCTCACTTCTTTCCCATGCAGCAGCACTGTGTCACCTTGAAAATCCTGCTAATCTTTACTTCTCTGGCATTCAAGAGTGTTTTTTTGCAAACAAGAGGACCAGATGTATCACAGATCTAAAAGTGGATTTGGGATATATCACATCTTGAATAGATAGCCTCATCCTGGGAGCAATGGAGACTTGATAACATGTTTTGGTGGAGAAGGGAAAGAATAGGGTATGGTAGGGATTAAGGAATAAACCCAGCTGCTGTGTGCCTAAGACAAGTACAACTCAGTACCCCAGGCATGGCAAGCCTGGTGGTGGTCAGCATTTATGTTCAAGGACATTTTATTGGTAGGCTGTAGCCTTAGCTTTTTCACTGCTGTGACCAAAAGACCTGACAAGAACAATTAGAGAAGGAAATGTTTGAGGCTCACAGTTTCAGAGGTCTCAGTCCATAAATGGCCAACACCATTTCTCTGGGTCTGAGGTAAGGCAGAATATCATGGCAGAAGTGTGTGGTGGAGGAAAGCAGCTGGGAACATGGCACCAGGAATCAGAGAAAGACTAAGCTCAGCCCACAAAACACATACCCCAAAGGCACACCCCCAGTGACCCACCTCCTCCAGCCACACCCTACCTGCCTACAGTCACCACTAGGTTAATCCCTATCAGGGATTAGTTTAAGGTTCTCATAACCCAATCATTCACCTCTAAACCTTCTTGCATTGTTTCACACATAAGCTTTTGGGGACACCTAATATCCAAATCATAACAAAGTTAAAAACAATGATTGACAGTAGCAAATATAGGCAAAAATATTGAAACATGGACACTGCATTGATAATGGGGAAATACCCTATTTCCTTCCTTGTGTCAATCATTATGGTGGTATATGGCAAATGAAAAATGAGTTGATTTACTGTACCAGCAAACCATGCCTGTGCATATCCTCGGAACCTCTCATTCATGTGTATAATGGGTGTAGGTAAGAAAGTAACAGAGTTTATAATAGCAAAAGGAAAATTCATAACAAATTTGCTCATCTGTAGAAGAATAAATAAATCATGTTTGGAATACACTTCAATGAAATATTATAGAATATTAAAAACTATAGATTATCAAATACCATAGAATATTAAACTAGAAATCTAAAGCTGCATGCACCAAATGTAGGTAAGTATTCCAAAAATAAAGTTTTATTCCTAGAGTGTTGAGAAACTTTATTTAGAATAATGTGAAATCATTCATGTACCAAAAACTTAGTTAGAAACTATGAACCTCAAAATGCCACTAAATTCCACAGTTATTATTTTATAAGACAAATAATTATCACATGTGTTATGTGAATTAAGGGAATGTTGGGTTTAAAATGAAAAAAAACTTTTGAATAAAAATTCAGAAGATATAATATGCTCCAGCATTGGGTCTCCCCTTTGTATTTCTGTAATCTTGCTCATATCACTTAAACTCTCTGATACTTATGTTGTTATTGTTTGTTTTAAAATGGGGACAGGATACCTGTCCTGCTCCCCAACTATGTGATTGTGAGGATCAAAGTACACAGCAGTTCCAAAAGGGCTTTGCAAGGTGTAAGTACACCCCACAGCTCATTGCTATTAATTCACTATCCAAATGCTTTAAAGTTTTTCATCTCATAGAAGAAATTTCAAAATATCATGTCACTCACTTGACAGGCCTGAAAGCACAATAAAATAATCCAACTTTTCCATTCAGAGACCAAACCATTTAGGGCCTGGGTTATTGCAGGTCCTCTGTGAGCAGGTGCTATCATGGGATTTGCATGCAAGGGATTAACAGAGAAGAAACTCTGTAAAGAGAAACAGGTGGGCTGGGGATATGGCTCAAGCCGTAACATGCTCCCCTGGCCTGGCATGTGCGGTTCGATCCTCAGTACCACATAAAAACAAAATAAAGATGTTGTGTCCACCGAAAACTAAAATTATATATATATATTATATATTAAAAAATTCTCTCTCTCTCTCTTAAAAAAAAAAAGAGAAACAGGCAAAGGCCTAAAGACTGGAAAGCAGTGCAAGTGACCCTCATGAAGGAGAGAAGAAAGAAGGAAGGTTGAAGGAAGCCCTGTAGGCCACAGTGTGGCTCTAAAATGCTGCTTTTTAATATAATATTATACCTCCCCAATGTGAGCCAACCTTGGCACCCTGCCATATCCAGTCATTGGGTTGGTTTTCTGGCTTTTATGGGTTTTTTTTGTTGTTGTTTGGGGGTGCTTGGAATTGAACCCAGGGTGACCTCATGCATGCTAACTAGGTCACCACTGAACTACCCTCCCCCTCCCCAACCCATACCTAGTCACTGGTAAGAGCCACCTGTAGAGGAATATCCCATGTGTCATGAGTTCCAGGCACGATACTGGGGCCATCTCCGGCAGTTACAAACCTTAATTTTCATCTTCATGATTGCCACCATGTCATGAAAACTACCTTTTATAATTGATATTTGATGACCAAGGCTGTCATTAGTTTTAGCAAATTAACATACTGTAGATAATATAACATGGAAATTCATGTCTATTTCACCATTAATGTTTCATTATTATCCATCTTACTATTTAATAGCCTTATTCTGCTTTATGTCAAATACATTCCTGTCATTATCAGAAATTATATATAATAGACCATCATTTTAAATGATTATTTAACATCAATCTTGAAGTTTTTGCATAGTGAAATAGGATATAAAGCAAAATCTATGGGATAGCTGTTGTAAAGTTGAGAACAAAGGGATGTTATCATTAAGGGTATGGTATACCTGTGAAAAGTAAGTAAAATGGAGAGTTACATGAATTAATTAGGTACTCTACAAAGTTAACCATATCACATATAAAATTAAAAATATCATTTAAAAAATGATTCTGATTCACAATGGTCGTGAAAACATAAAATATCCAAACTTTAACATTAAGCACAGAAAGCATGTAAATAAAGCGATGAAGCTTTACTAAGAAACAAAGAATTTAAATGAATCCACAGACATTCCACATTCTTTGATGAGAAAACTGAAATTGATAAAGTTGTTAGGTTTCATGTTAATTAACATATAATCTATAATATAAAATTTATATTTATAAGCTAAATACCATCAATTTTTCCATCAATTGAATTTTTTTTCATTTGTTAAAATTAATAAAATTATTTTAAAATATTCTGAAAGAAATGAATAGTACAAAAGAGGGACATCTTGGGAAGGCAAAAGAAGATATATAAAATCAGCACTATCGTGTGTGTTTGTGTTTGGTTGTGTGCATGTGTGAAGGTACATGTTCATTTATATATTTTGAGATGGAGTCTCCCTACGTTGCACAGGCTGGCCTCCATTCCCTGGGGTCAAGCAATCCTCCTGCCTCAGTCTCCCAAGTAACTGGGACTCTAGGCATGTACTACTACACCTGGCTTGACACTACCAGATTTTAAAGCAATAATGAAAACAATGTAGTCCTGAATCCAGAAAAGAAAAACAATAGATACACAAAACTGCAAAATTAAGAGTACATTTTAGTATATTGAAATATTTGTTTGACACATGGTAAGTGGTAAGTAGGCATCAACAAGAAACAGGTATGACTCACATGCACCCAAATAAATTACAAATGTATTACAAATTATTTTTTCGAAATAGTAGCATACTGTACTACTAAAGCACAAAAATATTTCTCTATCAGAGGCAGAGAAGTGAGTAGGGCTTTCTAAGA